AAACTACCATATGACTTAGCAATTCCAATCCTAGGTATATACCCAAAAGACTTGAAAGCAGAAACTCAGAGACTCATATACCAATGTTCATTGAAACACTATTCACAAGAGCCAAAAGGTGGAAACAACCTAAATGCCCATCAACAGATGAATGGATAAACAAAAGTTGGTACATACATACAATGGAATACTACTTGCCAGCAGGAGAAATGGTCTTGATACATGCTACAGTATGGATGGATCTGGAAGACATTATGCTGAGTGAAATAATCACAAAAGGACAAATATTGTATGACCTCACTTATATAAAAAGACAAGAAAAGACAAATGTATAGAGAACAAAGTTTATTAATGGTTACCAGGGGTGGGGGGGAGGGAGTTAATGGTGATGGACATATCACGTTGATTAAGGGTATGGTTGCAAAGCTGATTATTGTAATTGCTGTCCATAAGTTGTACACCTGTAAAAAGTTGAGCTGACAAAAGTTGTGTGATAGATATATTTACTATAATGACAAAAAAAGAGTAGCTGTTAAGGCTGATTATGTACAACCAAAAACCTCATTGGATTTGGTGTCTTGGTTTGGAGGTTTAGGGTCATGGTTTCATGGAACATCCCAGTTAACTGGCATAATAACATGTTTAGTGCCTCTGTTATGTCTGCTAGTTCGATACGAAGTGTCTGGGGTCGTAAAAGATTGCAAGTGGCCATCCAAGGCACAAGAATTTGTCTTTATTTGCCTGGAACAACAGAGGAAGAAGGAGAGTCAGCAATAGGAGGAGAATATGGAATGTGTGGCTAATTACCTCCATGAACAACTGCCTCCTTTGCCATGAGACCAGAACTGGATGGTCCCCGGCTACCATTATTGAACATTTTGATCAAATATTCTAGAGATGAATTCTGATCAAAAGGGGGAAAATGCAGAACAGAATTTAAAATTCTCATAGACTCTGGACTTTCTGGAGCCGTGGAAAGTGTACGAACCCTTGAAACTATTGCCCTGAGATAATCTTTAAACCTTAAACCAAAAATATCCCCTGAAATCATCCTAAAACTGAACGCTCTCTCCTAATAGACTAAAGACTACCCAAATTTATCCTAGACCCCTCACAAAATGACAAGTGAGAGCATTTATAGATTTAACACAGACAATGGAGGCCAATTTTTTCTCAGATTAAGACATCTCTTTATGAAATGACTGTCTTCAGTAAGAGACCCTCTCCTCTGGGAGTCCAAACATGAACAGGCCTTCTGTAACCTGAAAAAGGATCCTCAATAGCTTCCTTACTTAGGTATCTCTAACTACAGAAAGCCCTTTCGTCTATTTGTGCAGGAGCTATCTGGACAAGCCCTTGGGGTTTTAACTGAACTTCATAGGAACCATCCAAGACCCATTGCTTACTATAGCCCACTCTTGACCCAGGTGCAAAGGCTTATTCCATTTGTCTCAGGTCAACAGCTGCCACTGGAAAACTTGTCAATGCTTCTGCTAAACTAGTTCTAGTCTCCCTGCTTGGCCTCATGGATCCTCACATAGTACAGACATTACTACTGAGAACATATAGCACTTTTTAGCCAGCCAGTTAATCTCTTATGAGATTTTATTACTCTCTCACGTGACTATTCACTGCTGCAACACCCTGAAACCTACCACTCTCCTGCCCAGAAAGGCAACCTCATCATTGTCTTACCTCAGTTAGGGCAATTTCTGTACCTCACTCAGATTCATTAGCGATTCCTATTGAGAACCCTGACCTAATATTATTTGTTTATGGATCATACCTCAAAACTGAAAGTTATCAAGCAGAATATGGTATTTCTAACCTAAGCTCTCCTTTAGCATATAGCCCTCTACCTGAGGTAAAAATCAGCCCAGATGGCAGAATTTATTGTACTTAATAAACCAAAACCCACTGCCGTCAAGTTGATTCCAACTCATAGCGATCTCATAGGGTTTCCAAAGCTGTAAATATCTATGGAAGCAAACCGCCACATCTTTCTCCCACGAAGCCACTGGCGGTTTCAAACTGCCAACTTTCTGGTTAAAAACCAAAAAACCAAACCGTTGCCATCGAGTCGATTCCGACTCATAGGTTAGAGCGTGTCAATTAGCCAAAGACCAGAAAGTAAACATATATACTGACAGCAGGTATGTTTTTGAAGTAGTATATGACTTCGGGATACTTTGGGAACAATGAAGGTTTCTCATCTCTGCTGGAACTCCTACCAAAATGAACAGCAAGTTAAGGAACTTTTGGATGCACTCTTACTTCCTAGGTAGGTGGCTATTATAAAGACTGAGGCCCAAGCAAAAAGAGATAATATGCAAGCTAAAGGAGATGCTCTAGCAGATCATTATGTGAAACAAGCAGCCTTGTTAAGATCTAACTAAATCCTCAAAGGATAAATCTCTGGAAATATTCAAAGAGGCCTTTATAAAGTGTCATTTAGCCCGATTCTGTAAGGGAAGAATGGAAAGAATCTGGTTGTATCCTTCACTCACAAGAGAGCTGCCCATTGGCACCAGATGATTTCAAATGGATATTAGCTAAATTTCTCCATGAAACTCCTAAGGTACAAATTTATTACTATCTTAAATCAACATTGGAGAGGAAACTTTAAAAAGACAGCTGAGGTTATTTTCAGGCCATGTATCACCTGTCAACAACACAATCCTGGAAAAACTGTAAAGGTAGGATGTGGCCAGGAACCAAAGCCTCAAGGCCCTTTGAACACCTTCAGATAGATGTTATCCAGCTTCCACCCTCCATGAGATCTGAATATGTTTTAGTTATTGTATGTCCGTTTTCAGGATGGTTGAAGCATTCCCTTACTGAAAAGATACAGCCCTTACAGTCACTGAAAAGCTGCTTTATTTTATGTTTCCTACTTGGGGCATCCCAACTTTTATATCAAGTGACTGAGGCACACACTTTATGGGAACTGTTATAAAAGAACTCTCTAAGGCATTACCCCTTACTGAAAAACTACAGTGTCCTTAGCACCTACAAAGCTTATGGAAAAGTTGGAAGGACCAATGGCATCCTTAAATTAAAATTAGGAAAACTTTCAGAAGTCCTTGAGCTCCTTTGGCCAAAGGTACTCCCACTAGCTCTTATGGTCTACTCCCTCAAGGTTATCCTCCTATGTACTGGTAACTGGAAGGCCCATATATTTAGAGATTTCATCAGCCTGGGAATCCAAACCACTACCTCTGCAGAATGATCAGGAAGTCACTGAAAAGTGATCACTGATCAGGGACAGCCAGCTTCCCTATTTTTCGCCCCTGCTTCCAACTCAGGACCAAACCAGAGAAAGCCAAATCAATCACATAGGATGCCCCACTTCGAGTTAACCCACCTCCAGCTTCCCCAGGCCAACAACCTCTAATCAGCATACTCGAAGCCTTCCTATTTTTTGCTATAAAGTTTTCCCACTCACCCTGCCTGCCTTTGAGTCTCTTTTGAAAGCAAATGACTGTGGCTGACTCCCTTCCTACAGCAAGCTCTGAATAAATAGCTTCTGCTTGTCCTTCTTTGGATAGTCTTCATTTCATTTCCACTGAGGTAAAGATAATGGATAATGTTTGGACACCTCTTAAAAAGTTTTCTATCATAACACTTCTTTTACTTCTTCCAATAACTATCTTGTGAGAGAACAGAATCCTTCCATCCTGTGTGTCATTTCCATTCTTAAAAGTCACTTCCTATTTTCTCACTTTTCCTTTCTAGACACTGATGAAGACCTCCAGCCCCTCAGCAGGATGCTGAGTAATCTGAGCTTCGGCTTCTCTGACCCTGTGACCCCAGAGTATCCAGAAAAAAATTTCAAGCTCTTTAAATTTTTCAGAAGAAAGGCACAGAACATGGAGCAAGTCTTCTGCCCTGGGTGAAAGCAGAGACTCCCAAGGACACAGCTATGGATGAACAGGCACCAAGTGGGCTCCCTACAGGCCTTGGCCAAAGTCCTTGCCTTAGGTAGTAAAAGGTAACCTTATATTCTTCCTTCTCCTGGACTGGACACTTCCTAGCCCATAGAGACACTTTCCTCTACAGGGGAAATGACAAGTGTAGAAAAGGACAGGAATGCAGTTGAGAAAGAAAAGCAGCCAAAAATTATTTGTTTGCCCTGTTACTGTTCACAAAAGCAGCATGGGTTTCTAAACATATGGAGGTGAAGCCTGGAGAAAATATCTGACCCTAGGAATTCCACTTATTTCCTGCTCCTGCAGTCTGGTTAGAAAGAGAAAGCCGATGGCAGATCTGGCACACAGGCCAGGGGGTGAGGCATCACAGGTGCGTGGCAGCCAGCAGGGGAGCTGTCTGCGTTTGTGTACACGTGCACGTGTACACACGCCATGTGCACGCCCACAAGATGACACAGGCCCTCACGCAGGCAATGCACAATGCCATCCCCAATCAGGTTATGTTGGTAACAGTTCGTGTTCACCACTGACCCACCTGCTCCTTCTCAAGGTATCTGAGGACGTCACAGAATTCCCACACAACTGAATAGGAAGACATAACACATTTGCACTTAGCACTGTAAGCTTCACAGGGGTTCAGGGCAAAATTTTTCTTCTGTCTTCTAATGGACCTTCACTCATGACTATGCATGTTACATTCTCTCCTCCACAACTGTCCAACTCCATCTTCAAGAAATAAACAGCAAGCAAATTATTAGGGAACTGTGAATACCTGAACCCGACCTGGGAGGTTGCTCTATTAGAGGGAAGGGGAACCTGAAGGAAGGAATCCCTTGAACGACAGGATTAACTGAGTTTTTAAGTTACTATAAATGTGCATTTTCACGCACATAGTTTTTAAGACAAGTCAGTAATATCACCAAGAGCCTTCTCGCCCTTCTATCCCTATTAATTCCCCAGTGGTTACCGATAGATTCTCTTGTGATATTTTAATTTTTGTATTGAAACTTCAAAATCTGAAACCTGATGTTTCCAACTAGAAAGTTTAAGAAGAGAAAATAAGTTTACACATTTCATGATACATGATTTTATTTACATATTTGAAATTTTTTTCTTAGTCACCTTGATTACAAAAACAAATTACCTTCCACAGATAGGTTTTACAAATTTTGATAACTGACAGATTGCTACTTAATACTCAGTAATACTTATATAACTTCTGCATATATGTCTATGAAAAGTCTGCCTGATAGGACTAATAAATATGTTTACAACTCAGAAATAGACAACTAGATTATTAGTCGAGGGCTAACTCCCCATCACTGGGTCAGCCACGTGGACATGGGGTCCCCACATCACCAGCAAACCTGCTGCAGCAGTTCACACTCACTTAGTAGGCATTTCAAATAATTTCAGAGAGCTTATCGTTATTTCTGCATTTAACGAGACTATCATTAAATGCATCTGAAAACCAAAAGTTTACTATAATTGTAGATATTTGTAAAAGAACTATCACAGTGTATTTGAAAAGTGGCCGAAACTAAAGCCACGTCACATCCCCAGTAAGTATTTTCCACCTCTCTGGCCATGTGTGCATGCACACACACACACGAGTCTCCATCACAGTCATCCAAGCCTTCCTGCTTTTGTGAAATGTCTATAAAATACAGTATTTCAATAAAAGTATTTTAAGTCCTATCACAGTGCTTTAAATGTAGGACCAGGCAGTGTTTTGGTATCTTAATCCTTCCTGCAAAGTGACAGAGAGGAGCAGGCTGTGTGGTGACAAATGCAGGGCTCCTGGGACTTCCTGAAAGCCACCCCACAAGACTGAAGGAGCGTTTGGAGTGTGTGTGACCACTAGCAAACCCTGAAGAGTAACAAGAAGCATAAGGTCATGGTCAGAATCTAAGAAACAAAAACCTCTGGCTATAGCAGCAGTGAATTACAAACACAGGAAGAGCTAATACGTATGCCTTTCCATATAAGCTCTGTAAGAGCCAAAACATTGTCTTTTCCACATCAGAATTGTGATCACAGGTGTAGCAATCCTTGGTCACTGTTAATGCTACTTCTAACATAACTAGCTGAACCGTCCCTTTTAAAAGGAAGCTGAAGAGATACAAATTAAACTGAGCACAGGCCCCACCTTACATCCTAAGGTACAGGATGTGCCACTGCTTTTGGAGGCTGGCGGACAGTGAGCGGAACCCTGATGAGGATGGGGCCGACGGTGGCGAGATCTCTGCCGTCAGCGGCTCTCAGACCGGAGGCCACTCTACTCACACGCCCACTTCCTCCATGCCGTCCTGTGCTGAATATGGAAGGGTGCTGCAGAGGTGTAATGGGGACAACGGTATCTTGTGAGCCCTCCCTCCTCACATCGGCCTGTCTAAATAGCAAATACGGTATCACATCTCTCCATTGTGCTAAATCTATGAATCATTTTAAACATGATCAAAATCAAACGTCTTCCTAAGAAAAGGTGACATGATTTTAAAAGATCACCTTCAGGAGATCAAACGCTGGGCCGAGGCCTGCCCCGAGGTTCCCCTCACTCTCTCAGTCCTGGCACGGCTGTTACATCACCATTAAGACCTCGCTGGTTCTGAGTCTGAAACGAGTGCAGGTCATTTGGGCCCGTTTTTTCCTGCTGTCTTTTTGTGAGTGTGCTTCATGGTTAAATCTTGTTTCCTGGTTTGGTGGCAACCAGAAAAATCAAACAGTTCAGGTACATATTTTTAGACAAGGGACAAACCCAAACAGTTGTAAGCGTGAAGTGTGTGGTCTCTACTGATAAACACATACCAACCCTGGACTCTGCGGGGTACTGAATAAGAAAGAATAAATAAACACTTGACTTGGAACTCTTATCCAGTTGGATATGTTTCCCAGGAGGGAAAACCACCAGCTCTCATAAGTAAAGCCACTTTGGAAAGCAGTTAAAACAAACTACTAAAAACGAGTTTGCCACCTGGGAAATGAACGTTGGCTTAACCAGCGTGAACCGCACAAAGAAGGAGCCAGTGGCCTCTGCGTTCCTGGCATGTCGCTTCCCCTTATGAGTCCATCCCCTTTCACAAGGGAACGTCAGCTATCAAGCTTGTCCATTAATTTTGCCGCTGAGGGTGAACCCATCCAGTTAGCATATACACTATCGTTTGCATATCTTGGGAACACAGTGTTACTGCCATCGAATCTTGTGAGTGGTACAGGACTCTCTTCAGGCCAGTTCGGGGCTGACATGCCTAAAAATGAAAACAGATAATTTGTTCTGCACTGAAGAACCACAACTCCACTGTGCAGACAGTAAGGCCTTGGCAAAACTCCATTTGATGTCCAAACCAAACTTCTGGTTTCTGTGCCAATGACATTAATGATTGCGTTCCAGGTTTCCAAAACACTGTTATATTTAGGGGAAATAACAAGTGCTCTCTTAGTACAAATGTAAACTGCACAGGAACTACCAATTTGACTTTAAGGGCTTCAAACGCTCAGATCTGTTATCTTTTTGTTGAATTATTTACTTCCGTTTCTAAGGCAGTGTCAAGTTTCAGCACACTGCTGTACTAAGTGGGTGACCGCAACAGGAAGCTTCTGCACTATCGAAAAAATCCCGTAACTTAAAGGAGCCTGCGCATCTGTTGTTGAAGTCTGCCACGGTGGAGAGGACCTTCCCAATCGAGGGCGCATGCAGGCGAGCCCGCAGCATGGTTAGACAAATAGCACTAGACCCACAGCCAGCAAGTAATCATTGATTCAGGAGGCATGCAGAAAGGAACAGTCTCTGCTGAAAAACTTTAAACTCCAAGACCTTAAAACAACTGATCATGAAAATAGAAAAAAATTCAAATATGTAATCGAAGACAAAAGGAGGAGTTTTGGCAAGAACCGTATTTACTGTCCATCTCAAGACCACAACACCACAGACTACGCTCCTTAAAAAGCATTTGCTCCAGCTGTCAGCACTGATTTCACAGACGGCAACTGTCATGACAGTGGGTGATTCAAAGGATGTGAAAACGGCAGCGTGCGTCTGTCCTCCCGAGACCCCGCTCACTGCCCCGCAGTGGGCATGAGGCCAGGCCAGGCTGCTGCTCACCTGGCCCAGCGCGCCATGCCCTCGGGGCAGGCCAGGTGGCGGTGGTTGCTTCCTTTGTAAATAAATGCCTCCCCAAATCTGGCCAGTTTATCGAAGCAGTTAAATTAGAAGTGTGTGCACTTAACAGCCACCCAGAAGTGATTCAGCCATCATTTTTTCAATATCCCCTGAGAGTTCTGCCCTGGTCTCTCTCTCCTTGAGCATCTTAAGTTTCTGGGTGTTGTGGTATTTACACTTATTTTCACATCCTTTTTAAAAAACATACTTGCAAAATGCCTAAATATAAACTTGATGCAAAGTCAAACATTTACAAATAAAAAGGCTTCAGAGTGGACTTTGGCTTCATTCGGACCAGAAACACTCTCAGAAAGCATCGCAGAGTATAAGGAGAGTGCAGAGGGAAAACAAATCAGGGTTTGTGGTGCTAGAATCTAGTAAATGCATGTGAAATTCTACCATAGAGTTTGTTTTCAATCCATGTGGAAGGGAGGGTTCGAGGGAGGGGAGCATTATTACAGTCCACGAGGGGCGTCTCCTCTTCCGACAGGCCGTCATCATAGAGTAGGGCGTCAGACGGGGTGGATGCAGCAAGATCCAAGTAGTCCTGTGAAGAGGGGGCACCGGTCACTGCAGCTGCCCTGGACCATTCTTGGAGCTGTCCCTGGGGTAGGGGTCCTCCTCCCCTCCCTGCCTGGCCACCTTCCAGGGTCCCCTGAGACAAAGCCTGCGCCAGCGAGGCCCTGCCAGCCCCGTGCCCCACCACTGTGCCCTGCCCCCAGTCCTTATTACTCACCCTGCATGTCTCTCTACTCTGTCTCTTCCACCAGAAAGGCACCTCCCCAGGGCAGCAGTGTACCCCTTCACTGGCCAAAGCCAGAAAACCAAACCAGCTGATGTCGAGTCGATTCCAGCTCACGGCACCCCCATGTATGGCAGAGTAGCACTGTGCTCCATAGGGTTTTCAATTGCTGATTTTTCGGAAGTAGACCACCAGGTCTTTCTTCTGAGGCGCCTCTGGGCGGACTCAAACTGCCAGTCTTTCAGTTAGCAGCCAACCATGTTAACTGTCTGTGCCACCCAGGACTCCATTCACTGTGAGGACCCCCAAAAAACAACGGGTGAGGGGGCCCAGCCAGGCTGGCCCCATGCTCAGTGTGCCCTGTCTCCATCAACAACTGGTAACTCACTATTTAAAGAAACTCGCAGGCTCCAGGGAGCTCGCTGCCTCCTACAGCTCAGGCTGAAACATGGCTTGGCAAGAAGTACCTGGCCAGCACCCCCAGATCTGTGGGACACTTCAGCTTTCCTCCAAGACCCTGCCGTCTAGAACACCGTGGCGGCACCTAGGAAGCTTAGTGAAGTCAGTGATGCCAGTCTTACACCTGGCATAGTGACAGGCTCTGGTTTCCAAGCACATGGATTCACATATGTTGCAATTCACATGACTCAAAATGAGAGGAAATAGCTGCAAATATGCATTAATAATCGGAACATGGAATGTAAGGCGTATGAATCTAGCAAAACTGGATGTCATCAAAAATGAAATGGAATGCATGAAGATCGATGCCCTAGGTGTTAATGAGCTGAAATGGACAGGTATTAGCCATTTTGAATTGGACGATCATATGGTCTACGATGCCTGGAAGGACCAATTGAAGAGGAATGGCGCCACAATCATCATCAAAGAGAACATTTCAAGATCTATCCTGAAGTATGGCGCCCTGGTGGCGCAGTGGTTAACAGTTACGGCTGCTACCCAAAAGGTTGGCAGTTCAAATCTACCAATCGCTCCTTGGAAACCCTAGGGGGCAGTTCCACTCTGTTCTATAAGGTCACTATGAGTCAGCATCAACTCGATGGCAATGAGTTTCAATGGGTTGTCTTGCAGCACATTACTGTCAGTGATAGGATAATATCCATATGCTTACAAGGAAAACCAGTTAATATGACTATTATTCAAATCTACGCACCAACCACTAATGCCAAAGATAAGGAAACTGAAGATTTTTACCAACTTCTGCAGTCTGAAATTGATCAAACTGCAGTTAAGATGCATAGATAATTACTGGTGATTGGAATGCAAAAGTTAGAAAACAGAAGAAAGCCTGGTAGTTGGAAAATATGGCTTTGGTGATAGAAGTGATGCTGGAGATCGCATGACAGAATTTTGCAAGACCAACACCTTCTTCATTGCAAATACCTTTTTTCAACAACATAAATGGCGACTACACACGTGGACCTCACCAGATGGAATATACAAGAATCAAATCGACTGTATCTGTGGAAAGAGATGACGGAAAAGCTCGATATCATCAGTCAGAAAAAGGCCTGGAACCAACTGGGGTAGAGACCATCAATTGCTCATATGCAAGTTAAAGTTGAAGCTGAAGAAAATTAAAACAAGTCCATGAGAGCCAAAGTATGACCTTGAGTATATCCCACCTGAATTTAGAGACCATCTCAAAAATAGAGTTGATGCATTGAGCACTAATGACTGCAGATCAAGGACATCATACATGAAGGCCAAAGGTCATTAAAAAGACAGGAAAGAAAAAAAAAGACCAAAATGGATGTCAAAAAAGACTGAAACTTGCCCTTGAATGTAGAGTAGCTAAAGCGAATGGAAAAAATGATGAAGTAAAAGAGCTGAACAGCAGATTTCAAAGGGTGGCTCCAGAAGACAAAGTAAAGTATTACAATGACATGTGCAAAGACTTCGAGTTAGAAAACCAAAAGGGAAGACCACTTTTGGCATTTCTCAAGCTGAAAGAACTGAAGAAAAAATTTAAGCCTCGAGTTGCAATATTGAAAGATTCTACAGGCAAAATATTGAACGACACAGGAAGCATCAAAAGAAGATGGAAGGAATACGCAGAGTCACTATACCAAAAAGAATTGGTTGAAATTCAACCATTTCAGGAAGTAGCATATGATCAAGAAAGAACGAATGGTATTTAAGGAAGAAGTCCAAGCTGCACTAAAGGCCCTGGTGAAAAACAAGGCTCCAAGAATTGATGGAATACCAACTGAGATGTTTCAACAAACAGATGCAAGTGCTTACTCATCTACGCCAAGAAATTTGGAAGGCAGCTACCAGGCCAACCAACTGGAAGAGATCCATATGTGCCCATTCCAAAGAAAAGTGATCCAACAGAATGTGTAAATTATCAAACAATATCATTAATATCATACACAAGTAAAATTTTGAAGATAATTCAAAAATGGTTGCAGCAGTACATTGATGGGGAACTGCCAGAAATTCAAGCCCTATTCAGAAGAGGATATCATTGCTGATGTCAGATGGATCCTGGCTGAAAGCAGAGAATACCGGAAAGATGTTTACCTATGTTTTACTGACTATGCAAAAGCATCCGACTATGTGGATCATAACAAATTATGGATAACATTGCAAAGAATGGGAATTTCAGAACACTTAATTGTGCTCATGAGGAACCTGTAGGTAGACCAAGAGGCAGTTGTTTGAACAGAACAAGGGGATACTATGTGGTTTAAAACCAGGAAAGGTGTGTGGCAGGGTTGTATCCTTTCACCATACTTATTCAATCTGCATGCTGAGCAAATAACTCCAGAAGCTGGACTATATGAAGAATTCAGCATCAGGATTGGAGAAAGACTCATTAACAACCTGTGATATGCAGATGATGCAACCTTTGCTTGCTGAAAGCAAAGAGGATTTGAAGCACTTACTGATGAAGAGCAAAGGCTACATACAGCCTTCAGTATGGATTACATCTCAACATAAAGAAAACAAAAATCCTCACAACTGGACAGATAAGCAACATCATGATAAACGGAGAAGATATTGAAGTTGTCAAGGATTTCATTTTACTTGGATCCACAATCAACACCCATGGAAGCAGCAGTCAAGAAATCAAGGGACGTACTGCACTGGGCAAATCTGCTGCAAAAGACCTCTTTAAAGTGTTAAAAGGCAAAGATGTCACTTTGCGGGCTAAGGTGTGCCTGACCCTAGCCAGGGTATTCTCAATTGCCTCATATACATGTGAAAGCTGGATAATGAATAAGGAAAACTGGAGAAGAATTGATGCCTTTGAATTATGATGTTGATGAAGAATATTGAATATGCCATGGACTGTCAGAAGAACGAACAAATTTGTCTTGGAAGAAGTACAGCCAGAATGCTCCTTAGAAGTGAGGACAGTGAGACTTTGTTTCAGGTACTTTGGACATGTTACCAGCAGGGACCAGTCTCTGGAGAAGGACATCATGCTTGGTAAAGTAGAGAGTTAGCAAAAAAGAGGAAGACCCTCAACAAGATGGACTGACAGGGTGAATTGCTGCAACAATGGGCTCAAACACAGCGACAATTGTGAGGATGGCTCAGAACTGGGCAGTGTTTCATTCTGTTGTACATAAGATCGCTATGAGTGGGAACTGACTTGACGGCACCTAACAACAGCAACTCACAAGGCCCTGGTTCAACCTGCAGAGAACGGTCTTAGCATTGTGCTGGCTCCTTCTCAGCAATGTTCTGGGAAGGCCGGATCTCTTAGCGTTGGCTGTTATTTTTGTTTAGGGTAACCCTGCATTCATGGGTTTTGCTCGAGAAATCTACTCAGTTAAATTTCATTACAAGGCCTGGATCATGCATCTTGCTTCTTGTGTCTGAAGAAATGACAACGTTTAGTCAGTATGTCACTGTTAAGACAAGGCCTCTATGGAGACAACACAAGTCGAGCCTGTCTTGTTTACTCGTTGCCCCAGAGTCTAAGACAGGATACACGATATGGTACATGACCGTTGCTCAATAAATACTATTCAAAAATTTATTCACTTCCTCATTTATCCACAGGGCTATGAACTAGAGGTATACAGGCCGAACGTGGTCCCAGATAGGTTTTGTTTAGCTCACACTGGGCTTTTCAAAATTTTAATGAGTTGCTAACATTAAAAACTGGAAGACTTAACATAAACATCTCTTAAAATTCAGAAGATCTGACATCCTGGGGCTCACATTCCCATAGGCCCCATGTGGCTAAAGATGCCCTTGAAAAGGGACTTTCACTACTGTGTGCCACAGTTTCCACCACTCCCTAATCACTCCCACCCAGCCTAGCCGCTCACGAATTTATGATGCCTGCTTCAACTCTACTTTCTCATGTCCTGTTACTGAAAACAATTTTACATGGCTGTGGACTGTTTCCTCTCACATCTACTGGTGGAGTTTTCCTGGAGTAGGGTTCACTCTGCTGCCTGCCCTTAGGGAACAACATGCCAGCTCCCTGCGCAGGAGCGGTGGGAAGCCTCCGCACTAGCTCTGCCTCAGCGCTGGGAACTCTGTCTGCCCAAACCCACTGCCCCCCACGCCCTAGGGTGATGCCACGTTCAGCCCACAGAGGCCGGCTCCTGGGGGTCAGCTCAGGAACTCACTCTGCTCTTAACCATCATCTTCTCCAGATCTTTGCTTATGTCGGCAAACACCGGCCTCTTGTCTGGTTCCTGCTTCCAGCACTGCAGCATCAGACTGTACCTGAGGGGAGAGCAGACAGAGGGTTAAGCAAGGCCCACCTGGCTATGGCCCCAAGCCATGGTCCCTAAGCTGTTTCTGCACTGCCAGCATCTCCCTCTGAGCTCTGCTGGGTAGGCACCAGGCCAGGCTCTGAGGGCGGGTCCCAGCATACTGCACGCGTCCCTCCCTCTGAGAGGGCTCTGTTTTACTTCCCTTTCAAAGATGCTGTCAGCAGCTGGTCAAATGTATGCCCACTATGGTAGGTGAGGTGGAAACATCAGTCCCTACAACTCTTACGAAGGACGAACCAACTGAGGGGTTTTAGGTTTGGAAACAAACAAAAATACAAAAAAAAAAAAAAAAAAAAAAAAAACTTCTTGCAAATCACACCTGCGTTTTGCATGATTCGAACCTTCCTTGTCGGCTTCCCGGCAAGGCCCACTGGGCCTCCAGGGCTGCCGCATGGATGTGTGATGGGCCATCTGGCCTCTGTCTCTGTGGTGCTTCACGCTGCTCCCCGAGCCCAGCGTGGCAGCTTATGGAATGAAGGGGCCCATGCTTCTTGGCCTCTGAATGGCCCTTCCTAACCTCCTCTCAACCTGGGCCCGAGAACAGTGTGATGGAATCACCCCGTGTAGCCTCTCACTCTCGGGCCAGAGCCCAGGCTCCTGAGCTCAGCCATCAGAGCCCTGCCGGCCCTTGCGCCTCAGCCCAGACACGACCCAACGTGTACCACATGGGCCGTTCTGCACCACCTGCCCTCCCCGACACACCCTGCCCGAAGGTCAGGGTCGCACCTTGAGTCCCTCCCGCTGCCTTACCCCCAGGCCCCTGTCCCCCTCCTCCGGTGCATCCTGAGCAGGGCTGGGTCCTCCTCAGCATCCTCTTACTTCTTCCCCATAAGACTCTGCCCTGAGACCATCCCCCACCTTCCCCCACCCCCAGGGCTGCCTGGGGCATGGACCGCATGAGTGCGTGTCTTCTCCCAAGCTCAGCATCCCTGAGGCTGGACCAAAGCAAGCTCTGCTCACATCTCCTCGCTGCAGTTGTCCGGCCTCTCCATCCGGTAGCCTGTCTTCAGAAGGTTAAAGAGCCGCTCTGGGGGGATCCCTGGGTAGGGGTTCCCCCCCAGGGTCACAATTTCCCACAGCAGGACACCAAAGGACCACCTGCGGAGAGTACAGCAGAGTGAGTGGCTGTGCCCGGGTCCACGGGCTCTCTGTTGGCCGGACGCCATTCCATCCACCTCCCTGTCTGACCCCGAGCAAGGACAGCAGCGGTCAGCGCCCCACCAACTGGTCCCCCAAAGGCAGAAGCGCTCAGGGAGCTCAGCCTGGGTTCAGAAGCGTGGGTGGATGAGAAGGGAGCTGGAGAAAAAGGCCTCCTGCTCAGCCCCCACTCCTGTGACGCCCAGGCGGCACGTTCTGGAGGCCTCCGCCCACGCCCAGACTCCCTGGGCACCGCCTTGACACCCACAAGGGGCACAGCTCAGAGCAAAGGCATTGCGGACACCTAATGTGAGCAAGTCGCATGTCAGCACGGACGGAGAGATGGGCAAAGTGTGGTAAAGTAACAGCAGTCAAGGGTCACATGTGGCATCCAGGGGAACGGCTAAGGGGGTCCCCTGTACAACCCTTTCACCTATTCTGTATGTCTGAGATTTTTCATCAATTCTTAGAAGAAAATAAAAAGCAGTGTTATAGAAAATATTTGACTCTGAGGGAAAATGTACTGTTAAGTGAGAACAAAATCCTGTCACGAAACAGCCTGCGTGAACGAGCTCACACCACAGGGAAGACGGTGCCTTTCGGCACCGAGCTCACACCGCAGGGAAGACGGTGCCTTTCAGCACCAGCAGTCACCCTGAAACGTGATGTGGTTCGAGGGATTCTTAGTCTCCTTCTATGCCTTTCTCTGCATTTTCCGATTCTCCTACAGCCAACATGTACATCACTTCTGTAATCAGAAAGCAGCTGCTTAAATTACATGACAACTGTCTCTCACAGCCCACATTATTCAAGATACGCATGTTTGTGGACCGCAGAGCACTTCAGAAACAAGTCGGTGGTAATTCTGAAAAATTTCAGGTCCTTAACCTTGAAAACCAAGTTCTGGTTCCAGCCTTCAAGTGGTTTCGGGCATGATGGCCCATCGACCTCCACATAGGCTGTCTCTGGAGCCCACTGCCCTCAAGGCAGGCTGGGAACAGTCATGCCCCACGCTCAGGGTCCCTGAGAGGAAGGGTTTGGTTGGGAGCCCTTGGTGGTGCATGGTTAAGAGCTCTGCTGCTAACCGAAAAGTCAGCCGTTCGAATCCACCAGCCACTCCCTGGAAACCCTATGGGACAGTTCCACTCTGCCCTGTAGGGTTGCTAGGAGTCGGTGACTCAATGGCAGCGGGTTGTTTGAAGGGTCACTAAGATGCCCAGAGCAGCGTGGGGAGGAGAGGGGAAGGACGGATCTGAGACCCCCTGCTCCTTGTTCCCACGCTCCACCACAGTCTGGACCCTGGCCACGCGCTGAACGTATCTCCCTTGGCTTGGGGGCCCATGGAATGGTGGCCGTGAGCCAAAGGGTCCCAGGCCGGACCTGCCCCAGAGCCAAGCTGCAGACGCACATGCCCTCACACACGCGCGTGCAAACACATACTCAGCCCCCCTCTGTGTGTGCTGTACCTCTGTTGACCTCCCCTGGGGAGCCACGTCCACACTTACACGTCACTTTGGGTGGTGTAGATATGATCAAAAAGTGACTCAATTGCCATCCATTTGACCGGGATCCGACCCTAAACAGAGAGAGGTAAAAAAAACCCATTCAGGCTGCTCTGACCAGATGTTCCAGAGCTACTGGGGAGTGGAGGGCAGATGACTGCAACAGTGAGTGAGCGCACCTGGCTTGGGGATGCTGATTCCTGGCGCCCAGAACACACTAGAGCGTAGAACCGTAGCGGCCTCCCTGAGGTGTCAGGGGGCTGGGGGTGGGGAGGGTGTGAGACGGCTCGCAGGCAGCAGGGGGAGCCTCAGGAGCCACCCCTCTGCTAGGAGGCCGCCAAGGGCGGGGCCTCCACGCTGGCCCTGGAGAGCTGAACACAAGTGCTACAGGGCCGTGCTTCCCACCACAGCCAAACTCACCTGTCCAGCCAGATGGCCCCTAGACGACTCTGGGGGCAAGTGTGCTTGGAACTCTACCTCCTTTGTCTCTATCCTGGAGACTTCTGATACAAACTGTCCCCAGAGGCTCTGCCCAGAAGCCATGGGAGGAGCCCTGCTGTGTGTCCTGAGGCTAGCTTTCCCGCCTGCTTTATCCCCTAGCATTCAGAGCTGCTAGGTTGGCCCTCAGAAGGCCTTCCCGACACAACTTGAAAATAGCTTTGCAACATGTCTTAAGATGCAAATCAGTATGCACACACACGATTGCAGGACAACATTACTGTGCTTTCTTTCACTTAGAATGTTTTGTCGGATTTGTCCGTCGCTCCAAGCTCTGTGCAGAGCCACAGCAGCTGGGCAATCTCCATCCCGTGACACAGAGGGCCCCCAAGGATGGGTGTCAACAGGAAACCTTTCCCACACCCTCCCCACGTGGGGGCCAGGGCAGGGGCCCCCTTCACTTCCCCTTCAGCGGCTCTGAGTTCGGCAATACAACAGAAACCCCAGAAGACATGAAATACTGTCCTCACAACTTGTAGCAACGAAGAAAAACTTCTCCTGCCCCTTAGAGCACAGATGAATCCTGCAAAGTCATGTTTATTTTTTGGGCAAATCAGCTTGCCTGTGTAAGGGTCTGCTCGGAAGACTGCACGAGCTGGTCCTGCTCGGCCCTGTCCTCACAGTGACACTGCAGTGGGGGCAGAGATGAGCGACAAGGCCCAGGGGGTCAGGGAACATTGGAGAGTCACAGGGGTTCCCAAAGGGCCGCCAACCACCTATTGCAGACGTCATGTGAGCCCCTATGAGCTCTGCGCTCACGGCTCCTCTGGACCTGTCTCCAGAGGCTTCCCAGGCCCCTTCCGCACCCACCCCAGAGAGCCACCTGCAAGACAGCTCATTACTTCCTGCAGAGAATGACTGCCATCCCCAGTTTATTTCACTTCCCCTCCGGTTTGCAAAAAGTTAGATCGCACAGACAGGAAGCGGTGACTCTGCCCAGCAGAAGCAGGAGGAACCCCTGCGGGCAAGAGGTGTGTGCCTTTCAGAAGTGCAGTAACTGAACACAGGAAAAGCGGGGGCCTGCGGTCCCCAGGCAGGGCAGCCCCGTCGCTGGCAGGAGGCCTCTCACAGCAACAGTGCGTGGGCACCCCTGCCCTTTGTCCTGGATTGCGTCTCGGGTCAGGAAAGGTCGTGGAAGGATGCGGCATGAGGGCTAAAGGCGGTTTAGTATTTTCAAACTCTGCTTGACACACTGTTCCAGAGGTCTTGGGTGTGGCCCCCGCCCCGGGGGAGCAGTTGACGCCATCTGGCCCTACCAGGAGCCGCCAGCCAGCACCAGGGACTGTGTACCTTGCTCCTCTTGACATAGGAATCCTCTTCATAAACATCTCGGGACAGGCCAAAATCAGAAATCTTCATCTTCCTCCCCTCGGCTACCAGAACATTCCTGGCTGCCAGGTCACGATGGACGAGCTACGAGGAAGAGAGCCACAGGGTCCCCTCAGCCAGGACCTGGCACAAGGCGGGCGGGAGTGGGCGGGCAGCTGGCCCCCGTGGTGGCACGCACCTTCATCTCAGCCAGGTACTGCATCCCCCGGGAGATCTGCCAGGCAAAGGAGATGAGGTCGCCCATGGTGAGGGCCCTCTCGTCTGGGTTGTCCAGGTAGCTGGAGCTGCGGCTGCCACCGCTGCCCACGTAACTGGGCCCCACCTTGCGACTCTCCCGGAGGAAGCCCCGCAAGGAGCCGTACTTGGCGTACTCCACAATGAGGAAGAGCGGTCCTGGGGCAGGAGAGAAGGATGGAGGGAGGCTGGCTCCAGCGGGGCCCTGGGTGCTCGGGGGGAGGGTGGGCCAGCTCTGGGTGAAGTGGCTCTGGGAGCACAGGGGAGGGGATGCTGTGGGGCCACGGGCAGGCTCTGCCTCCCTGTGAGAAAGTCGCAGACGGGCACGGCCCTGTCTTGTGCAGCCAGCAGCCTGAGGCACCACAAAGGCACAAAGATGTGAGACACACACACAAACCAGTTGTTGTCGGCAACCCTACGTGCGTCTGAGCAGAACAAAGCTCCACGGGGTTTTCATTGGCTGTGACCTTTTGGAAGTAGATCACCAGGCCTTTCTTCCAAGGTACCTTCGGGTGGATTTGAACTGCCAACCTTTTGGTTAATAGCAGAGCACTTAACCATCTGCCCACCCAGGGATGTGAGTCACCAAAAAAAACCAAACGTGTTGCCGTGCGGTGGATTCTTAAATCACTCTCACTCTGCCTTGGACTGAGGGGCCAGCATTGCTGCCCTGGGCAGTGTGCTCACCTTCTCCTAGGGTGTCCCAAGGAAGGGGCCCGTTTGTGGTCAGCGCTGCCCGTGAGGCACCCCGCCCTTGCTGGAAGAGGAGCCACAGTCCAGGCGGTGACGGCCAGGGGAGGAGGGTTATGGGTGCTAGACCTGCACGGGCCCTGCAGACTTGAAGGACCAGCCCAGGGCCTGCTCAGCCCGGGCCCCCGCCTGCACACAGCCTGCTCCTGCACCTCCAACACCAGGTCCTCTGCTCTCGCCAGCTCTTGGGCTCCATCCTGCCCTAGGCCAGCCCAGAGCCCTGACCAGCATCCTGCAGCCCTCTCTCTCTTGTGATCCTGGGGACAGCAGAGCAGGTCTGGACAGCTAGCAGACCAGGCTGGTTAACATGACCTCTGACTCCTGCGTCCTTATCTGAGGACAGTGACAAGGCCCTGCCATGCAGGGCTGGGGCCTGGGTGTGGGAGGGTCACTTGGACATCACAGCAGGCCCAGGACACAGTGGGTGCTTAGGGAGCACCGACCACTCCTGAGCTCCCCTGCTGCGGACACCTGGCCTGGGACACAGCCTCACAGAATGAGCCCGGAGCGCAGCCCTCCACGCCCTCTCATGCAAACCTGCGGTAACACAGAACGGCCACCTGCAGGAGCCGCCTCTTGGAGGAGGAGAAGGCGCTCACCCAGTGACGCGGGAGGAAGCAAGCCCATGCAGGGAGCAGAGCTAGGATGATGTGGACGTGAGGCAGGGAAGGAGGAAGAGGGAGAGTGGGGGTCCCAGGGGCCCCTGGCTGCGTACCGTCCTGGCTGCAGGCCCCATGCAGCTTGATGACGTGGGGGTGGTTGACCTGCTTCAGGAGGTTGAACTCTGACAGTAGGTCCCGCAGCTCGCTTGGGGAGGCATTCTCTGAAACACAGCAGCACACACAGGGTAGGCTTCACATGGACCCCTCTGGAGTCCGGTCCACCACTGCCCGGGGCTGGGGACAGACTCCTAGCTGTTTCTGTCACAGGTGTTGTACCAAGTCCACACAGAGGCCCCCCAAGGATCCAGCTGCTTTGGCTCCCCCTACCCCTGGGGGCCGGTGCCAAGGGCCCCATCTCCCTCCAGGGAATAAGAGCTTGGGGAGCAGATTTCCGCATGGCAGGGCTGGAGTGTGTGTGTAAACTGTCAGTGTCTCTAGGAAGACAGCAGTCCCCAGAGACCCCCACAACCCCACCAGCCCCAACACCCACTGACCAAGCGCTGAACAGTGGGATGGGCCCTGGAGGGGGGTGAAGAGCAACGAGTGAGGAGCCTGCACAGCCCTACCACGGGCTCCTGCACCCACGCGGGGGTCGATGAGGCACCTACGGGGTGGGGGCAGAGATACCCACACTGTGCCTACAGTGTCTGGGCCACACGCTTAGTGCAGCCGCTGTTTTCAGCTCACTGGTGTGGGAGCTGACATTCGAGCTCCTGAAATGAAGCAGGTCACCGTTCAGCGGCACACTGGCCGTTCTGGCTTAGAGATTTTAGATGACAATGCAATCACTCCGGAAAGTCTCCGTGCGTCTGGGGCTTCATGAAGACAAGTGTCGAGACCTCACCGGGTGAGTCCACCCCACACCAAGCCCAGCTGTACTCTGGCGCCCACCACACCTGAGCAGGGCTGGTGACTGACAGCTCCTCCTTGGTCCACGGACGCGCCTCCCCACAGCTGTGTCCCACCCCGCTGCCATCTCTGTCCCGTGGACTTGTGCATGAAGAAGCTAGGGGACAGCTGGGATCGGGGGCCCTTTGGGGCTGGTTCTCGGGCCACCCTGGGGGCCTGGATAAGCGTCTGGAAGCCCCGACTGTCTGCACTGGAGCTCGGTGCGCAGGACCACCTCATCGCACTGACTGGCCTCACAGCCACGCTGCATGTCATGTGCAGGCAGGCGGCATGCCGGTGGAGAGCCGGACTACAGCATGAGGAGCTCAGACCTGTCTGAGCACCAGAGGAGGGCCGTCCTTACAGGCGGTGTCTCTACCAGACCTGAGAGGCATGAGAGGCAGCAGAGAGGGTCCGGGGGACTGTTGGCCCCAAATCAAAAGGGCTTTTAAATTTTTTCAACTCAAATCTTCATCCAGTGTCGGCGGTAAAGCAGCACCACTGAAGAGCCTTCCAAGGAGGAGAGGAGTCTTCCTGCCTGCTTCTCTGGAGACCTGGCCCACCTGGCTGGGCTGTCCCCAGACTGTGGCTACCAAGAGCAGCAGGGGACTCTCCAGGAGGCCCCATGGTATGCAGCAGGGCCCACCGGGTTCACTACGTGCCCTCACCCAGACGCAGTGGCTGCCCAGGCCATGACACCCCAGGTGTGCACAAGGGAGCCCCACACCCATACCTGCAACAGGTGTGTACATCAGAGCCCCACACTCATGCCCTCATCAGGACAGGTGTGCGTGAGGGAGCCCTGCACCCACGCCCTCGTCAGGACAGGTGTGCACATCAGAGACCCAGACCCACACCCTCGCCAGGACGGTGTGCACACCAGAGACCCACACCCACGCCCTCGCCAGGACAGGTGTGCACATCACAGCCCCGCACCCACACCCTCGCCAGGACAGGTGTGCACATCCGAGACCCACACCCACGCCCTCGCCAGGACAGGTGTGCACATCAGAGACCCACACCCACACCCTCACCATGATAAGCACCTTTCAGCATCTTCACAGCCACGGTTGTGTAGCCCGCTTTGCCTTTGAGTCGGAAGGCTGTTGCCTTGACCACTTTTCCAAATTCACCTTCTCCCAGAGTTTTTCCAAGAACCAAGTTCTTCCGTGGAAACTCCCACTTTGGGTCCTCCTACATTGAGGTCGAAAGGAATGGAGAAGAGCAGAGGGGAGAGAGGGGTGAGCTCAGGTAACAGGACAGGAAGGAGGTAATCTCTGAAATCAGCCCCCTGTTGATGGGCCCGCAGGTCCAGGGAGCTGACTGTCGTCCGGGCCAGCACACAGTGACCACCACATCCGTAGATGGTGGGACCTGCAGCCGGTCCCAAGGCAGTGCTGCAGAAGGGTCATCCCTGTCAGGTGGGAGTTTCCTCGGCAGTCGGCCCCATGCTCCCATGGAACGAGCACAGTCCCTCCTGAGCAGCCTGACTCCATAACAGAGCCAAGCACTCATCCGGCAGGCCTGCTGTGGGGGCTGAGTGACCGCCAGGAGGATGAGCCAGACCCACAGCCACAGAGCAACCTGAGCAAACCAGGAGGCCCGGGGACCACAGGGGCCGCCACCTCTGAGCACTCCTTCTATGGCCTAGACCCTCATCAAGGCATGGGGCGTCACCCAAGCCAGGCCCTACGGTGCCCAGGAAAAACAGGGCCAAGGCCTCAGTGTGAGCCCACAGGGTGGGGCACCTCCTCTCAGCTCCCATCTATCCAAGCCCAAGGGCAAGCACACATACCGCACATGCACACACCACATACATGCACACACACCCTAGCCTCTGAGTGTTTCCCCTGGTTCCCCCCAGAACCTGAGCTCCAGCTCCTCAGACAAACGAAAGGCAGGTCCGTCCGACACAGGACCGAAGCATGGCCAAGGAAGACCGGGAGGCCCCTGGCGGATGCCCTCCTCCGCCTGACTCTGAGGAGCAGCACTGACCCATGGAGCCAGGCCCTCTGACAGAGGAGAGGGGCATCGGAAGCTGAGGTTCCTCCTTCCAGCAGGCCTACACTGCCTCAGCTGCCTTTGAAGCCCTCCATGCCCCCTCCATGTTGCGGGAGGCCTCTGGGCTGGGTGGCGTCCTGCCCACTGAGGGAGCCCTGGCCGAGCCCTTGTCACCATCTCTCGCCTGCAACAGGGCAGGCGTCCCACGATGGCGTCCCCACTGCCGCCTCAACCCCACACTCTGCTTGACAGAGTGGACTGTTGACACGCAGGTGGGCTACGTCCCTCCTCTGCACCCACCCCCCAGGGACCTCAGCTCCTCGGAGAATAATATCCAAACACCTCCTCAGGGCCTTGTGGGCCACTAAGGACCCGGCATCCTACAGCCCTCCTCCTCCTAGCCTTTGGGGCACCCTCCCCAAGACTCCCAGTCCTTTCCCTGCTTCACCAGGCTTGGCCTCAATTCTAAACCAGCACCCGTCTCCTCAACAAACTGCCTCCGTGCCCCTAAAACTTGGAGAGGCATCTCTTCATGCTGGTGCTGCGTGGGCTCATGACGCTCGGTTGCCCGTGGGCTTCGGGCTGAGCCCTGCACAGGACAGGCTCCCAGGGCAGGGAGCCCTGGACCAACATCAGAGGCCACCTCTGCCGCGGGCCCACAGGAAAGGCCAGCCCAGCCACAGCACCCGGGCCTCTCCCGGGGGAGCCTCACCGGGATCTTGAAGGCATCCACCGAGACCTGGTTCTCCATGGAGTCTACGGAGGGTCGGCGGGTGCCCGACGAGGAGTAGCTGACTGGGAAGGCCTGGGCAGGCCGGCGGAAAGTCATCTCGGCCGAGGCGATGGGTGGCTTGTGGGCGTTCTTGTGGTAGCGGTGGATGCAGAAGGAGGAGAGCAGCACAGAGACGATAAAGGAGAGGAGGACGGCCGCCGCGATGACCGTACGGCAAAGCTCGTCACACAGCGCCTCTGTGGGCAAGGGCCGTGTGAGCCAGGGGCCCCGGGCACCCGCAGGAGCCGGCCGGGCGCTCGAGGGCGCTCCTGGGGCTGCCTGCAGTGAGCGCCGCGACGACGTGAAGGTAGTGAGAATAGAGTGAATGCGCTGGTGGCGCTGAGTGCGCCACGTGTACCCTCTCACTGCGGTCACGAGCCACCAGTGCGCCTCACGTGAGGGGAGGCACAGGAGCCCCCCAGCCCAGAGCCCCCGCCACGCCCCCTCCCAGGCCCTGCAGGGCTGGGAGGGAGGCAAACGCTTTCCTCTGTGTTCCAGTCACCTTTGGTATTGTCTTTATTAAAAACGGAAAAATAAAAGAAAGGGGCTCAGAACCTAGGAACGAGCAATTACAACCCAGACACCGGGAAAACGTTGCTGGGCTCAGGGCAGACGACTCCCATTAGTGCAGCCAGCCCGACCTGGGGGCCAAGGGGTGTCAGGTTCCCCAGATGGTTGCCACCCACCACACTGCAGCCCTGGGGCAGCCTCCGAGGCTCTGGCTGGGACGGGTCCCTGCTGGACAGCCCACAGAGCTATTCGACAGAAGTGACGTCACTGGCCATACTCCATCACGGAGCTTTGGGCCTGGAAAGCACTCTATGGGGCAACCTGGACCAACTCCCTGGTTGCACAGATGGGGAGACTGAGGTCCAGTCTCACAGTCTCACTGAGCTCCCACACCGGGGACTCAGTACTGCCTATGTGAGTCCTCCCTGGGGCTCAGGGAGATGTGGGAGCACGGCATGGGGTCCTGACCCTTGCCCGGCCCGGCCTAGCCCCCAGCCCGGCCTGGCCCGCCACTCACCCTGGCTGTCTTCCGGCTCACAGAAGCACTTCTTGTCCTCAGGGAAGCAGCTGCAGATGCCATAGCCGGCTTTAATTCCTTGTCGCTCCCCCGGCTCATGGCCGCCTACGATGCTGCCGCCCCCTGCGGGTTCAGACAGCCACCTCAGCCTGCTGCCCCGGCTTGCCAGCCCTGGGCCCTCAGACCTCATGTCAGCACCCCAGGCCCGGGGAGAGCGGTGTGTGGAGCTGCTTCCCACGGGGGTGTGGGCACAGACTGGCCGGGATCGAGGGCCTTGCTGGGGTCCCAGGGAAGGGGCAGAAGGATGGCTGGGCAGGGACGTGTGGACCGGGGAAGCCAGCATGTCCCGTCCGGAGGGCTGTGCCTAATCAGCGTGCTGGAAGGTGTGGAGCACGCTGGCCGGGCGCCAGGCCCCACACTTGGGACAAAGCCCTCGACCCACAGACACAGCACAGGAGTGGCCTCCTCCCACCTTGGCCGTGTCCCCAGGGGCTCTTACGAAGGCAGTCCTGGGGACAAATATGTAAGTCCTTGCTCTCCACAGCGTCACAGTGGCCATCGGGGCAGGTCCTGGTGCTGGGGGTGCAGGTTGAGAAGTTCCTGGTGATCCCTGCGACACACGGCCAGCCAGGTGTTGCCATGTCAGCCTCTCCTCCCAGGCTTACTGGGCGGGGCCCTGGGGAACGCACCTCTCCCTGCCCCCCGTGGCCTGTCAGGAGCCTCCCTGACCAGCCGTGCCCGCTAAGGAGGAGCAGCTGAGGCCTGGACAGAGACAGCCCCAGGCTGTGCCTGAGTGCACGGAGCCAGGCGGCCAGGACCGGGGCCAGGAAAGAAGGGTGTGGGGGCCCGATGGCTAGGAGCCCAAGGTGGTGGAAGAGCCTCTGCGTCTGTGCAGGGAGCCCGGCGTGAACCACGTGGGGAGAAGGCACCAGGGAGCACCAGAGCGGAGACAGCCCAGTACGAGGCTGCGGGCCCACGGGGACCCCAGCTGCAAACACCCCCTGGCCTCCGGGCCCCTCCCGGGCCGCAGCTGCACGGGGCCTACCTTTGCTGTCGCCCTGTCTCCACTCACACCTGCCGGTCAAGGAGCCCAGGCCACCACACTCCTCGCACTCAGGGCGCCGCTTGCTGACCGAGCAGGACAGGGGGCAGCCGGCCGCCTCGGCCACATCTGGGAGGGTAGACAAGCAGGGTCTCGTGAGAATGGCCAGCACGGCCCGCAAGACAAGCACCGGCTGGGCTACCGGGCCGGCAGGCCAGGAGGCACGACTCAGCACAGGACAGCAGAGCTGGTACGGGGCACAGGGCACTGACGGGGCCGGGAGTGGGTGCTCTCCGTGTAGGGATGGGGTGTGGCACCCGCCCGTCACAGCACACAGTCACAAAGAGGGGAGTGAGGACAGGGAGCCAGAGAGAGGGCCAGACTCAGCAAACCACCACACAGGACGCGCGGTTAACTCTGGACTTCAGATAAAGAATGAATAATGAAAATGCAAGCAGCATCCTTGGAAGTTCGTCTTCCAAGGCAAACTACGGCATCCGCAAACACTGCATGGATATACTTATACCAGAAAACAATCTCGTTTAAATTCTCATTTAACCAGGGCCCGCGGTTTTGTCTGGCAACCCTAAATCCAGTACATGTACAGGCTGCAAGGGCGGCAGTGGGGTGGGGGAGCGACGGCTTCTCCAAGCAGGTCCTTGGGGTGGAAGCTGCTTCACACTCTTCCCATGCAAACCTTCCCACATGGCTGGGAGGTGGGCACTACTCTAAGTGTATGGGGAGCAGACTTGAACTGGGGCAGTTTCCAGGGGGTCCATGGGGGACTGCAGGGTGAGGCTGCTTCACGCCCACCTGTGCTCTGTCCTGCTGGAGCCCCGGCACTAGACCCCAGGCTTAAGCCCCGCCCAGTCCCCCCACTTCCCAGGCACTCACACGTCCCCTCCACTATGACGAGCAGCTGGACCTGGGCCTGCCTGCGCGTCTGCCGTTCAGTGGCCACCACCATGTACCGGAGCTCAGCACATTCGGACTGCCGCAGGACCTCCGGGTCATTCACAAACAGGGTCCCGGTGGTGTCCTCTGCTGAGGTGACCACCCCCAGGGCACTGCAGTTGGCCCCAGAGGGCTGTAGTTTATACTGGACGAGGATGCCGCTGAACTCCAGGCAGTGTTCCACACAGACCTTCCCGACCTAGGCAGAGGCACAGGCGTCTCAGCCAGGGGCTGGTGGGCTGCGGCTTCGCCGTGGGCAGGAGACTCCCAGACAACCCCTGGCGCAGCACCTCAACTCATCTGGGTGTCAGTACCTCCCCTAGGACCGCCATCCTTCTGGCCCTGCCCACTGAACACACAGGCCAGTCATGCAGAAGGGTACCTGGCCCCTTGGGCTGACTGCCGTTCAGGCCCTGGCACCACCCACCCTGGTCCTGGGAGCCAGGGGAGCAGAGAGGAACCCAGGGCGCTGAGGTTTGGTTTGGTGGCAGCAAAGGACCCAGGCAGGCCCTCCACAGAGGGGTTGACTCCTCCCTCTCCTCATTCATTCATTCAAACAGCAGAGGCTAATGCACACCTCCCACACCCAAGCCCCTGCTCAGGGAGCTATGCGCTTAGTGCTGGATGAAGCCGACCAAGGCCTTGAGCTCCTGGGACTCAACCAAGGGACGAACCAGCCCCTCCAACAGCAGATAAACAAGTAAACATATCCCCTGTCAGGCAGAGGGTGGGGAGCGATGGGTGGAAGGTCCTGGAGACAAGATGATCAGGGAAGGGGCTCTCTGAAGGTGACGTGAGTAAAGCTCTGAACAAGCCAATTCTGGGTAAAGAGGTTCCAGGTGGAGGAAACAGCGAGTGCAGAGGTCCCAGGGCAGGATGGCTGGGCGTGTCTGAGGAGCGGCACAGTGCTGCCTTCCGGGCCTCCCAAGCCCCCACTGCTTCTTGCTACAGATCTCCCTCCTCCCAGCACCCGCCTCTCCAGCTGGTTGGGTGGGGGTCACGAGCCTGAGTGGAGCCAGACAGCCCAGGGCAGCCACCAGGCCCACCGCAAGCTCTGCATCCTCACAATAAGGCGCAGTCATCTGTGGTAAGGTGAGACCGGAAAATCCAGACAAGCCCCAAGCAGCTGAGGGGGAGCATGGGGGCTCAGCCATGTGGGCGCCTGGCCAGATTGTGGACTCTGAGGAGTGTCTGAGCGGCAGTGGGGCAGGGGCTTTGGGCTGAAGCAGGTGCTGACAGGTAGTAATCTGGAGCCAGACAGGGCAAGATGAAGCCTGGGAGAGGCCCACCCATGGCCCGTGGCCCCAGGGGTCTCCACGGCACGGTGGCCTCGTACCCACTGTCCCTCCTCGCTTCTTCTGGCCACGGGCCTTGGTGAATCCAGTCCTCCCAGGGCCACCCCGAGCACCGCCCCTGGGCCGTGGGACTTGTCCTCCAGCATGGTTTGCTATCCCACGCTGTGCTGGGGGAACCCGGGACTTGGGCGTTTCTTCCCAGGGTTGCGAGTCTGACCGCCACTGCAGAAGAGCTCACCACTGCTGACCTCGCCTGGCAAGCACCGGAGTCTTGAGGTGCCACTCTGGGGTGAGGCCGCCATGGTGGGAACCAAGGCCAGGCAGGGGAGAGGTCCCCGGGCTACAGCTGGCCCAGCCTGTCCTCGCTCAGCCCTGTGAGGCCCACCCCGAAGCAGAGCCAGGCTGGGCTCCTGCAAGCTGGCGATCAACATTACCACAAAAATGGGTGGCTGGGTGCACGGCACTTTCCCAGGCACAAACCAGGGCCTTTCTACTTCCTCAGCACTGCCTGGGGTCACATTCCTTCCTTCACAACTCAACTCCTGGGGAAGGGGTGAGCAGCCACTGTCTCCTGAGTCTCTGGGTGGTGCAGCTGACCCACCTCCAGCACTGCATGCCCCAGCCCTAGTACAGCCCTCTGTGGAGACCACCTCCACTCTCCTCGTCAGCCCCAGGGCCCCCGCCCACCGCTGGTCCAGGCCTCTGTGGAGACCTCCTCCACTCTCCTCGTCAGCCCCAGG